TGTGTGTGTGATATATAATGCTGCTTCACACAATGGTGGACACTGCCAACAGCCAGCTGTGGTCGCTCCCTACATGGGCTGGGTATATTTTCATAAATGCAGAGTAACAAGGGACCTTAGAACTTGGCAATCGCCTCATCCTGCTTCCTTCCCAGTGCAGGAATCTGGCTGCAATTTTCCTGGTCAGAGGCCATCCTGTTCCTGGTTGAGCTACTCCAATGACAAGGAACTTACCACTAATAAGGCAAAAGGGCATCCACTGCAAAAGGGCAGCCCTCAGTGTTACAGAGTTTTCATGTTGAGCTGAAATCTACATCCCATTACCTTCCCATCTAACTCTGGGAGTTAAAACAAATCATAAACATCATCTCCATGGTCGCACTTCAAATATTTGAAGAAAACAGACATGTCTCCCCCGTAGCTCCTTTCTTGACACAATATCTTCATGTGCTCATATGATACGGTTTCCAGATCTGTCCCTATCCTGCTAGTCCCCTCTTTGGGTGACCTCGTTAAGAAAGGGCCCCAAAACGGAATCCTGCACTCAGTTCTTGGTCCACAAAGGTTAAGAGTTTAGGAAAAGAATTCTTCTGTCAGTGCATCAGTTTATATTCATTTTTTTAGCAGCCATAGCATACCTTTGGCTTACACTGAGCTTGTAGTCAACCAATCCCCTTCAGGGAGTTTTTAAAAATATATCATCAACCCTTTCAGTCACTCTCTCTTGTTTTCACCCTGTGGCTGATTCCCCCCTCCCGCCCCCGCCTCATGGACCTTGATATAGGTAGGAGCTTCCAATCGTCCCTCATATGTTACAGTTTGGGCCTATTATTTCAACCTACTGAGGTTTATCTGAATCTCATTCCCTAACGTTATATTCCAGCAATCCCTTCCCACTTTGGGTCTTCTATGAATTTGATCAGTACTTATTTTAATCTCCATGCGAATTTCTGATATGTGATGGAGGAAGGGGAGTGGGGAACCCTGAGAGCCTACCACTGTGCTCACACTGACTGCTCAGCAGTTCTCCTGGGTACCGTTAGTCAGTACACTGTGACTCCACCTAACGGCATGTCCACCAAACCTACTTCTCGGCCTCTTGTCCACAGCCTTTAAGGGGGGCATTTCTTTAGCCAAGAGGAATGATTTCATGACTTCAGCTACTGACACAGGCTATTACATGAAGTATTTTAGAGAAACTTTTCAGCATCCCACAAAAATCCGCTGTAGGTGGTCTGGGCACCTCCCTGTCCGTCAGGCCAGTGCTGCCAGTAAGCATGGGCTTTAGCCACGAAGTCCTGGATGGAAGAACCCTCTGACAATTCTCAAAGGCTCTCCTCAGACATTCTGAGATCTAGGTCCTTTCATGACCTACTTTCATCCAATACCAAAGGGAAGAGGTTATTGGGAGCTGCTCATCAGTTGAAAGTTTTCTCAGCGTCTGTGGTTGGACAAGCAAGCCTCCACCCAGTCTGGCTCATAGTAACCAGTCTGACTTGTATGTCAGCAAGAGGGAAGCCTTCTAGGAAAATGCAGAGTATGGAAGGCTGTGGAAGTCGTCCAGCCCTTCAGCCCTGATGTCCCCCCAGCTAGTTCTCTCTGGGTCACTGTAAATTCATTTAGGATCTAGGCTCCTTGCTTTGGAAGTACCTCCCAGCTTTCCCCAAGACATGCATCTTGTCTTCTCGGGTTATAAGGACTGGAGGACAAGGGCCATACTTTCTTCCCCTAATAGTGTCCCAGACCATGGTATCTGTGTGTAGCAGACACCCAACAAATGTCCGGAATAAAGATAGGCACCAAACTCTCCTATCATGGACTCTATCTACCCCTTCCAGAATAAGAAACCACTCTCTTACAGATGTTTTTCAGTCCTCCCTTGGCCTGTGCTACCCAATTAAGGTTCTGCTTTGCATATGACCCACCTTATTCACCCTCCAAATACTCAGCATTAGAACTGCCCATAGAGGAATTCAATAAAACTTCTATGTTGAAGTGATGCTCATAGAGTTCTTTCCCAGAATCATATTTTCCTAGTGGCAAAACCCATTGACATTTTGGGCCACGTTCTTTTGATTCAAAAGAATGACTTTCTTATGCCCAGAAGCCTGGATCTTCACTGGACAATCCAAGCGGATTATCCTGAGGTTCTAGGCTGAACAGCGGCCCATTAAAGATGTTCTAAATAGCTCCTTGTCCTAGAAGGCAGGGCAATGCTATAAAGAAGAGATTTGCTTCTGTGTACTTCTCATCACTGTTTAGTTTGATATTTTATCCTGGGAGATTCTTCACCTAAGGGGATCATGATCTTTGGTTTGCATTCCTGGGAAGAAGAAAACTTGGGAGTTAGACATATTGTTCCTATTAAGTACCTAGCATTATTTCTATTGGATACAATGGTGAGTTAGCTATAGCCCCTGCCCTCCAGGAGCTTCCGATCTCATTGGAAAGATGGGATACATATAACTGGGTGCTGATTATTCTGTATGAGCTTATAAAGAGAGGAGACAGAAAGTGTGAAACGGAGTCAGAAAAGTCTACCCTCAAAATCATAAACTTCATGGTAGAGCAAAGTTGTCATCAGTAACTAGAATACTAAGTAAAGTATATCGACTCTATACCAATCTCTTCTAGTTATTTCTAATAAAATAGCAGCATTTGAAGAATGTCTGCTAGAAGTGGTCTCATCCTGCCAGCTGAGAGAAGGCTGGAGATCCTTTTCCATGCTATAATGCAGGCTTGGACGAGTTCCCAGAATGCTCTAGGAACATATGAGGAAAGAGCAGGACAGTGTGAGTCATGAGGGGAAAAATGTAAAGACCACAATCTGGGCAGAACTTCCTCTGGAACCCAAATAGGGCAACTTCAAGAGTCACCTTTCTTTAGCATTAGTCCTGTGGTCAGCTGAAGGTGAAAGCACCATGAAGGCTCCTTGGCCTGGATTCAGGGTAGCTCCCACAACCCCCTGAGGGTAGCATCCAACATGTTTCTTGAGAAAGGAGTCTTGGCTGCCCGCTCCTTCAGCCTTAAGTCCCACATTCCTTGCACAGAAAAGTAGTGCAATGAACATTTGCTAATTTCATCGTTTAAGTGGAGAACTTGTTCAAAAGAAATTGAGCCATAAATGTAGGAGAAGGGTCAGGAGACTTTTGCCATTCCCAAATGCTGACTCGGGTCAGGCAGCAACATCAGAGCTTAAAACAGTAACCTGTTCTGGGCTGGCCAAGTGGCGCGATGGTTGAGAGCTGGCTTGGGACGCCAGAGGGCCCCGGTTCGGATCCCATATATGAGGGCCAGTGACACTGCCCTCTGCAGCTAAGATGCTGAACAGCAGCTCGACCTGGAGCTGGGCTGCCATGAGTCGCCAGCGATGGCGTAGGCTGCAGCCCCTGTGGCAGTGGGTTGCCATGGGCTACCGTGTGTAGCCAGCAGCCAGCATGAGCTGCTTCGCAGTGAGCGGCCGTCCAGAAGCTGGCGACTGATCTGCCTCGACTGGGAAGAGTGCAATGATGGTGCCAACTCGGGCCAGTGAAGCAACGTCCTCCACAACTAGACTGAAGAACAAAACGACAGCAACTTGTCTGTTCCCCTTCCCCAATTCCCCAGCACTGTTCCCATCCCCCCAATTCCCCAATAAAAATCTTAAAAAAAAAAAGTAACCTGTTCTCATAATGGGAGACTCTGATTCAGTAGGCCTAAAGTGAGACCCCCAATACCTGCATTTGTGAAGAAATTCTGATCCCCGGCTAGATTTGGGAACAACTGTCCTGTGGTAGCCAGCCTCCGAGATGGCACACAGCGATCTCTACCTTCTGCATTCATGCCCTTGGGTAATCTCCTCCCGCACTATACATGGTTCGTCTGTGTGACCAATAGAATACAGCAGAAATGATGGAATATCACTTCTGAGATTAGGTTATGAAAGACTGTGGCCTCCACGTTTTGCTCCCTCTGCCTCTATCTCTTTTGAAGCACTCACTCTGGAGAAAGACAACTGCCATGTCTTAAGGCCACTCAGGCAGTCTGTAGAGAGGGTGTGTGGAGAGGATCCAAGGCCGCCAGCTGACTGTCAGGAAGAAACTAGAGCCTGCCAACAACCACATGAGTCAACTGGAGAGACGATCTCCTGGCCCCACTGATAGCCTGACTGCAACCTCATGAGAGGCTGAATCAACTCGCTAAGCCACTTCTGGATTCCTGACCCTCAGAAACTATGTAAGATAATAAAAGTTTGCTGTTTGAAGCTGCAACATCGGGGAGGGTAATTTCTAATGCAGCAATTGATAGCTAATACACTTCCCTAGTCCAAAGGGTAAGCTCCTAACATAGCAGAGAAGGCCTTTCACGTTCATCTTTCTAACTTCATTTCACACAACTCCCAGATTCATACTTTAGCCATGAGTAGCACTGACCCTCTTATCCCTAGTTTGCACCTCCATTCCCCTGTGCCTTGGCCCAAGCTGTTCTCTGTGTCTGCAATGCCTTTTCCCCAGTGATGGCACCCCCATCTCCAGAAATCCTCCCCCAACGGCCCCTGCACCAAATCCAATTGCCTTGGGCCTCCCTTCTCAGTGCTCACACACGCTTCTTGGAATCAGTAGGCAAAACGTGAGTGACATGGAAGAAGGAAACCGTCACTTGAAGGAGTCATCAGGAATACATGACTTGCCTCTATGTGGTTGATCAACGAATTGTCGAATTTGAACCCAGGAATCCTTTTGTCACTGCACACCACACCCACGTCTTCCGTGTGCTTGCAGTCAGTGACACCCCAGCCATTGGAGGAGCAGGCTGCCAGGGTTGCCTCCTTGCCGGTGCAGTAGATATTGTCCAACCAGATGGGGCCTGAAGGAAGCAGAGAAGAGAGAAACCAAGCACTACATCAAAGTAGGTTTGAGTCTTTGTGGGCACCAATGTCACACATAGAGAATTTTCCCTCTAATTTCGGCAGCTGTGTGTGGTTGTCAATTGATTTTTAGTATGTTAAGATATTGCATACAGTTCTATGCCATCTGGATTCTCTTGCCAGAGGGATGTGGTAGATGGAACACGATTCGGGTAGAAATCAGAGTTGAGCCTGGACGTCATATGGCTGTGGGGGAAAGAGCGGGGACTTGGGATACTAAGTGGGTTTGAATTGGCTCAGCCACTTAGCTCTGTGTCTTGTCAAAGCCCCTTTTTCTCATCCACAAGGTGGGGATAATAATGATGAACTGCAGGGCTGTGTGTAGACTAGAGATAATACATGGCACTTGCCCAGTTTGTTGGCCCATAGTTACTCAAAAACAGTAACTACCATGATGACGATGATGATGATGATGAAGTAGATGATGATTTTTGTTATACTGACTATGATACAATTCAGACTCGCCTTCCATCTGCAGCAGAGGCTGAACTATGGCCTTCTGGGAAAATCTAAGCTATCCTGCAACTGAGGGTTTGAAGCTTTTAAGGATTTTCACATTTATTGCTTCCCCTGACTGCCTCATACCTCAGGGAAGAGGATGAAGAGGCATTGTCATTCCTACTTCACAGATGCAGAGCTCTGGCTCAGAGAGTGCACCCCACTCTGCAAGGCCACCCCCTGAGCCCAGTGCCCTGGTCCTTTTAGTGCTCTTCTCACTTCCTGATGTTTCCCATCCACTGGTTCAGAGACTTAACCCACAGGGCCACCTCCTCACATTTCAGAAGTCACGTGGAGGCAGGGCTGGGGTGTGGTTGGGCAATCTATCTGGGACGCCCTGTGGAATTCTGCTCACCTCCTGTGCCTTTACCTGATTTGCATTAAGTAGAGAATTCAGTGTACAAAGCACAATGAGACACTCCCACACCTATTAGAATGGCTACTATAAAAAAAATTGACAAGTGTTGGCGAAGATGTGGAGAAATTGGAACCCTTGTGCACTGTTGTAGGAATGCAAAATGGTGCAGCCCCTATGGGAAACAAGATGGTACTTCCTCAAGAAATTAAAAATGGAATTACTATACGATCCAGCAATTCTCACTTCTGGGTATACACCTAAAAGGACCGAAAGCAGGGACTCAAAGAGATATTTGCACACCCATGCGCATTACAGCATTATTCACAATAGCCAAGAGACAAAAGCAACCCAAATGTCCACGGATAAATTGTGGTATATATAAACACTGGAATATTATTCAGCCTTTTCAAAAAAAAAGGAAATTTTAACACATGTTACTGCATGGTTGAATCTTGAGTTCATTGTGCTAAGTGAAGTAAGCAAGTCACAAAAAGACAAATATTGCAAGATTGCACTTATATGAGGTACCTAGAGTAGTCAAAATTCATAGAGACAGAAAGCAGAATGGTTGCTGGGGCTGGGGGAGAGAAAAGGGGGAGTTGCTGCTTAATAGGTGTAGAGTTTCAGTTCTGCAACATGGAAAATGTTCTGGATATTATTTGCACAACAATGTGAATAGACCAACACTACTAAACTGTACACTGAAAAATGGTTACGATGGCACATTTTATGTTATGTGTATTTTTCCATAATTAAAAATAAAAAAATTTAAGATGCTAGAGGGTTTTCAAATAGTGATTTTTATAAGTGCCACTACACAATGAAAGGGAAGCAAAATCCAACCTGTCATTTTTCTCATAGCTCCATGTAGAACTCTATAGTATAATGGAGTCAGATAACCTGGGTTCAAATTCTCTCAGGCTTGGGTACCATGTAACTTGGTCAACTACTTAACCAAGCCTGCTCCCCCCATTTCTAAAGTGAAAATAATGATACCCAACAAACAGGTTGCCATGGATATTCAATGAGATAATCTGTGTGGCTAGAGCATGTTCAACCTCCCTTTCCCCTTCCTTCTCCCAGTAAGTCAGAAAAACAGGGAAAACTGTTGTTTTCACAAGGCAAGGAAGGAACAGATAAAAACATTCCCATTGTAGAGATGAGAAAAGCAAGAAGAACCTGAGGCTCCTCAAGGTCAGAGAGGACACCGGGCCAGTCTCCTGACTTTGAGGACCCACTGAAACACGTCTGCTGTGACGGGTGGCAGATCAGGGTTCAAACCAAAGCGCCTCCAATGCATTCAGGGGAACAAAGAGCTTATTGAAAACATCTGGGCTGAAGTTTTGCAACTGGTTTCTCAATCTGGCCTGGTTTCCAAGCCTTCGAGCTCCACTGAAATGTAAGCTCCCTAACCGATTGCTGTTCCAACAACAAACCAATGTTTGTCTTGCTAAGTATCAGCAACGGAAAAGACCCTCCACCTTTGACGTGGGGCCTCTTCCTTGGGACATTCTGTAATGAAGCTGGTAAAGGGAAAGGTGATGAAAAGAAGCAGCACCCTTATTCCATCTGCAATGACAGGAACCACCGTTGCTAAGGGGATGGGGAGCCAGACAGCGCATGGCTACAGGCAGTATGAAGAGCTGCAAAACATACTCCAGGGCCTGCTACACTTTTCATAAGGAACATTCGCCATTAGCCCCTGGAGTGCTTATCCCGAAAAGCGGCTTTCTTAAGGACCTTCAATTCACCCCCCGTCATCCTGCCCCCTGCGAATTCTCACCAGTTATGTTTTCTTAGATGGTGGAAATATAAATTTCTACTCAGCCCAAGATAGCATCACCATGCATGGTATACTCATATGGCCCGATGCCTGACAATTTTTTTTCTGCATGTTTAATGCTTGTTGACTAGACTGTCCGGATTCCAAAGCAGTCAGCTTCTGGTTCTGCCTGTGAGGAGGCAGGGTGGTTCTAGGCAGAGTGCAATAGATTCCATCCCAAAGCTGCGAGGAAAGTGGCACTTGGGACACATATGGGGCTAAAACTTTGGGCACAAAACGCCAGGCAATCATTTTACGTTTTCCACTCATTTACTCTAAGAAATGCTCCCTGATAAAAGGAGAAGAGATGTATAAACAAATGAACAATTTGGAAGATAAAGATCAGAAGTGAATTTCCACTTGCATGCCTGCACATTCCCCTGAACTCTGTAATAAAAATTGTTCATTGTTAGAATTGTTCAAGGTAGAATGTTTGGGGCTCCACTTGGTCATCTGCTGGCTTTGTCACTCTGATCTGAGGAACGGCAGGGAAAGGGGGTGCATTGGACATCAGATCTGATCCCAGATCTGAAGACAGGCAATGGAAAGCCACCATCGTAGGTTCAGGTTGCTGTGAGACCCATACAGAGGGTGAGGAGTAGGCAGCTGTCCCCTTTAGGATCCTCTAAAAGGGCCCATGATTTCCCCGAGCTCAGAGATGCTTTGGGAGAAGAGACCTATTCCCAGGCCAGCCTGGAAAATCCAGGCAGTGAGGGTGCTCTCTCTGGCTTCATTACTACAGCCTGAACTTGAAAGGAGTAAGTGACAGTGAGCATTCTTGGAGGGGTGGCCTCTGACAGACACAGCTGTGGCATTCCCAGCCAACTCACTGGTTAAGCCCCATGGGAGCACACTCCAGGGCCCTGATCATGTTCTCTGGTCACTATGCCAAGTACTGTTTGCCAAATCTTCTTAATAGTCTCCCAAATCAAAATGAATCAATTCACTAATACCTACTGAGTTCCAAACCTGCACTCAGTGCTAAAAATCCTAAGCTGATGAAATTCAAATACATTTATATTTAAAAGGTCTCTTATGATGTATACCAAGGAATGCTTTATGTAGACAGCATAATCCTTACAGTCCTGGAGACGTGACAGTTAAAATTATTTTAGCATCTGTTTCTCCATTCCTCTCTTTGATACTCCTTTCCTAAGCCTGGAGGGTTTCATCATCCACACAGACGACCCTTCCAGTACTCTTGGCCTCCTAGGGACTCTGCCTCCTCTTGCCAATGACTTTCCTCCATCTTCAGCTACTATCCCATATTCATAGCTTAGGTCTTGTCATTACCAATAATCACACCCCCCCATCTCCATTTCAACCCTCTGCCCTGCAACCATGTCCCCCACCCCATCTTTCTAGCATACTCCCTCTAGTATCGCAATCTCAACAGAGACCTATAATCCTGGCTTTCCACATTCTGTCAACTCCTCCATGCAGTACTTTCCACGGAACAGGATTTTAAACACTTCCTTTCATCATCCTGTACTCCCTTTAACTTTTCTTTCTTCATCAACCTTGGATGGCAAAGTCTGTGCCAGGTTAACCCACCTGTCCAGCCACCCCATGCCTGCTCCTGGGCCAGGGAACATGGGGAAAACCACACCCGCCGTGTCTGATGACAGGTGAATTTAAAGTTTGGGTAGAAATCAAATAAAGCTGTCACTGGAATAACCCCCCCAGTCACTGGAAAGTTCTTGTCATAAAATAATTAAGCTTAAAAAGCCTGGAATAGAAAACATAAATTTGACGTTACCCTTGGATCACTCAGCTAGCAGAATAAACGGAGATCTGTGAGTGTGGAGAAGTGTTTGGAGTTTTTGTAAAGAAGACAAGAAATGGGTTTAAAAGCCCAGCATTTGCTAACTCGTCTTTGCTGCTTTCACTTTCATCCCTGTGAGGGAACCCAGAGTCAGCATCAGAGAACGTTTCACTCTAAGTGCGGTTACCCCAACAGGATATATTCAATTGCACAAAGGTGAGGCATGTTGAGATGGGATTTCCTTTCTCCTAGAATTTCTAGGATAGCAGAAAGCCAGGGTTGGACGGAACCATAACAATGATCTAATTCAATGAATTCCCAAACTGGCTGTGTATACAATCGCTTGGAAGGCTTCCAAAAGTCACAGAGTCCTACACTCCAGCCCAGTCCCTGACCCAGAATATCCTGAGTTAGTTCCCCCAAGGGATTCTTATGCTGTCAGCGTGGCATGACTCCATGAGTCCAGGAAGAGCCTTTGAGCACCTCTGCTTTCGTCCAGCAGCAGCTCAGTCAAGTGAAGGAACTGCCTTTGCTTTACCAACCCAGGGAGGGGCACTCTCAGCTCCTGTTTTTGTTTGTTTGTTTTTTAAATCATGCTTTTCATCCTTATCTATTTTCCCACTTGGGATCATAGACTATGCAAGTTTCAAGAGGTCTTGAGGGCCCAACTTCCAGACTGGGAAACTGAGGCCAAAGAGGATGAGCATCTTCCTCTAAAGCATAGAATTACACCTGCTCTCCCTCAAAGCTCTTATCAAAAAAAGAATTTTATTTTTTTAATATATTGATTGAACTTAACCAGGGAGAAAAGAATATGCTGAAACCAAAGTGAGAAACCCAAAGTAACTCTGTTCCTGTCACCACAAAGCCCCAAACAGCATGTGAGTGTGAAAAGTGTGAATTCTACATGGGCAGGAGGGTGGGGAGAGTCAGGGCACGCTAACCTAAGCGGAAGAGGAACTCCTTGCAAGGGCGCTAGGAAGCCAGGCACCAGCTCCCCTGGCTGATACAGCCCCCCCCCCCCCCCCCCCGGCAGGCCACGGGCTCGGATGGATGTGCACAGACCGACTTCAGTCCCTGCCTAGGATCACCAGCCAACCCAGCTTGCCCAGGGCGAGGCGTTGCCCCGGATGCCAGGCTTTGCGTGGAAAAGTCCCGGCAAAGCAGGATGGTTGGTCACTGTACCCCTCCCCAGCACCCTTCCGCTCCCACCTTCCTGCACAGACGCAGGAGGTTGCCCTGAAGGACGATTCTCAGGAATCCTCAGGAAATGTAGCTTCCTTGACCAGGTTCACCGCCCAGAGAAGCCTGTTCCCAGGGTTTCCAAGGGGACACTAGCATGAGTTCCAAAGCACAGAGCGTTTTACCTTCCCCTTTGCCATAGGAGGAGCTGGGGGTCCAGGACTTGGCCTCCACGTATCCCAGCTCCCGGCAGACGACGTGGGCGGCATGGATGGAGAAGTCGTCGTCGCACACGGTGCCCCACTCGCCCTTGTAGTACACCTCCACCCGCCCCTCGCTGTGCTTCCTCTTCTGCCCGGCCAGGCGCAGCTGGATCTTGGCGACGTCGGAGGGCACCTGAGGCCGGTGGTACTCGGGAGCGGGCTGCTGGAAGTACTCGGGGTAGTGGCGCCAGCTCTCATCCTGCGCCAGGCTCAGCAAGGGGAGAAGGGAGAGCACAGCCCAACAGCAGCGCAGGCAGGAGCGTCCTGGCCTCGCCATGCCTGTCCTCTGGCTGGAGGACCTGACGGAGGGGGCACTGGGCGGTGACGAGCGAAAGGCGGGAGGCTCCTGGAACAGAAGAGAGATGCAGGTTACAGAGATCTACAAAGCGTCCAGGGCCCTCATACTCCATTGATCAGGATGTAAAGCCCTTGGCATGCTCGACTCCAACCTCCTCTCTTCTCCCAACTTCCGTTTCAGCCGGACAGGTCTGTGCACTCCCACCTCTTTTGCCCAGCCACCTTCCCCGATCTCAGAGATGCCTTTTTTCAACTATGGTTCCTGGCAGGAAGCAGAGCACACTGAGAGTTAATTTGAGGAGAATGTTTTAAAAGACTATCCATAGAGACAGGAACAGAGATAACAAAATACCCCAGGCTGGCCATAGGGGAGAGCTGTTACCACCCTCAGGCTTGAAGGGCTGCCTGTATGGAGCTGTGGCTTCAGGGATGGGTCTCAGAGCCAACCCACAGCCACAGAGACGGGCGAAAAATAAATGACCTCACTCTCCTCCAGTCGTCTAATCTCTTTCTGGTGCCTCCTATTTGGCAAACTCAAGCCCTTTGGCCTTCTGGGCACAGGGGATGGTGGAGGAGGGCAGCAGGTCGAAAGGGCCAGCAGAAGGTATCTAGCACCCTCTTTCTCTTTCTCCCCACCACCTACATCTTCTCATTCTCCAAGGCCCCGCTCAAATCCCGCCTCCTTCAGACAACATGTCTACTGCAGCGGCCTCCAGGGTTCCCTGCTTCCCAAGGCGGGCTTATTATCTAGACATTCTTCTCACCCTTTCCAGACCCTTTCATGTCCCCAAGTAGAATACAAACGTCTTAAGGGAAGAACTTCTTCTCTGGCTGCTCCAGAGTCAACATTATAGGTTCAAAGACCGGTTTCTTGAATGAGAAGGTTGATGTGGTTCCAGGGTCTGATCCGCTGGGGAAATGTGGAGCTGGAGGGTGCTACACTGAAGGGGTCCTGTGTGAACTCTTGGGTACTCCCATGTAAGGTGTCTTCCCTTCCTCCGGACATTAGCTGACCTGGATGGAAGCAGCCTCTTCCAGGTGCTGAGACTAATATTATACTAGGAGGCTTAGAGTCTCTCTGTCTCGACTTGCTCATGGGCTGCTATTCTCTCTGTGCATATCTAAACCCTCCCAGGGCTCTGCTTTCAGGCTCCAGGCCTTTAGACACACACCAGCACGCTGCCCACCCTCACCCCTGATCTCGTGATGCCTTATACTCTGGACCTCAAGACAGCTGAGGCTGCTGACTGAGGAGGTCAGTGGCAACGCCCCCTTAAACAACTCATCTGCAAGGCCTGTTCTTAGCTGAACTGTGGCAGCCTCAGAGGACAGCTCTCAGGCACACCTCTCACCTTTGGGGAAGCCAAGAATGCCCTGGTGCTGGTGACAATACCATCCTTTTTCATAGTTTCTGTCCCTGAGGGGTTCAGGGACTGAAAACAGTCTGCTCTTTGCACAGAGGGGAGGCAGAAAGCTCTTTGGCAAACAGGAGAGAGGCTGAGTGGCCTGTCATCAGGCAGAGGAAGGCAGCACAGCAGAGTGGGGAGGAGCACGGACTCTGGAGCCAGATAACCTGAGTTTGAATCCTCACTCAGGCACTTATTAGCTGTGCGACCTTGAGCAAAATACTTAACTTTTCTGTGCTTTAGTTTCCTATCTGTAAAATCAGGATAATAATCATATCTAGCTCACAGAATTATGAAGATTGAATGAATGGTCCATAATAAGCGCTACAGGAGCATTTGACAAATTTTTTTTTAATTCTCAAGATCGTCGTCACCGTACCCAGATGGAGCCTGCCTCTGAGAATTCCAGAGTGAGGTCATATAACGAGAAGTAAATATTTAGCTCATGTGCCTTGGTCTTTCCATAGTTCAGAGAGAGGGAATGATTATCTTAAAGGGACTACAGGGGTGTTTCATGGAAAAGGAAATAGATTTGGGATATGGGGCCCCCAAAAGCAAAACCAGGACCAGTAGGTGGAAGCCAAAGGGGGGCATAATTCATTTTATGTTAACAAGGTACAGAAGGTTAGGCTAATCGTAGTTCTCTCAGCTCATGGCCCATCATCATCAAGGAAGGACTGGACAGCTGCCCAGAGCTGCCCAGAGGGATGATCTAAACTAGAAAGAGGCAGTTTCATGACTGTCAGGCTGGCCAGTGTCCAGTCCCCCGGGATGGGCGCTGGGGCAGGAATGACAGTGCTCGGGACAATCAGGACAGAGGACTTTGGAAGTCTCTGGTTTCACTAAAAATTCAGCCATCCTCCCCCTGGGATGCACAAGCAAGACCAGAAAGATAAGGAATTCCTGAAATAGCCCCCTTCAGACCACAGCCCGGCAAACCAGTAACTGGCTCTAAAGAGGGGCGTCATCACCTCCTCTGTCCTGACCAAACCTCGTTCCTATCAAAGCATATTTTCATGCACGAGCTCATCTGCGCCTCACTAGGACCTCAAGACATGGGTGGAAGAGGCAGAGATTACGATGCTTATTCTACAAGGGAGACAATTAGGGACCAGAAGGGCTAAGGACTTCCCTGGAGGTTGCAATTAGTGCAGGCGAAGCCAGAACTAGACACTGCCAAGCTTTCAAAACTTCAAGCATCCACCATCACATGTAAAACTGTCCACATGCTGCCTGGGACATAGACACCTTTCAACTTGGCACATATCTTGATTTCCTAGCTTCAGTTCCAACGACACTTGTCTCCCTACCCTCATTCCAGTCCTTCACATGTGACCTGTCCTATCTATCATATAGCCTATACTTGGTTTAAGTGTTTCCACATAGATAGGTCAATGTGCCTCTATTCCCACTTCTTCCCTACCCTCCAAATAGCATATGTCACAATCCTTCCCCTTCTTCAAGGAAACCTCATCCCCTCCTAGTCAGAATTTTGAATGTCTTCTCTGATTCCCTTAAAGGCATAATAGCATTTTGCTTGTGCTTTACACTGTTGTCATGTCCGGCTCTACCAGACCCTCAGTCCCAGGGCAGAAGCCATCCCTTTGTCATTTCCACACAGCACCATGTGTCTTGGACCACGTCAGACTAGCTTGTATTAGATAAACCTTCCTGCCAAGAACAACTGGAAAAAGGAGACGAATACTAAAAGCATATATGAAGACACTGAAAAGCGATCGAGGCAGCAAGAACTCAAGAGCCAAGAACCCAGAGAGCGAGGTGAGCCTGACATCTGTGTCTGCTTTTCTCCTCATGACACTTGCCAGGTTCAAGGCAATAGGCTGAGAAGCTCATTAAACAAAGCTTTCAGCAGCCTCCCAGGACTGAGGAGACAAAAACTGGGGTTCAGAGCCTGCCAAGAAGGAAGTGCCCTGTTAAACAGCCCCAGGCTTTCAGATGGGAGCTCCTAAAGGGCTAAACTCTGGAAGTTAGGGCACAGAGTTACGCTTTACATGTTGGAGCGCTCTAACATCCACATAATTGGAATTTCAGGGGAAAGGAGAGAGAATGTACGGAAGAAGTATTTGAAGAGATAATGGCCAAAAATTATACAAAATTGATGAAAAGATACCAACCCAAGCAGTGTAGTTTACATAGAAAACCACACTGGGCACATCAAAATCCAGCTGCAGAAAATCCAAGACAAATAGAAAATCTTAAAAGCAGCCAGAGTACAAAAGGCGCATTACCTTCAAAGGAGAACCAATAAGACCAACAGATGGCCTCTCAACAAAAAACAAGGAAACGAAGACAATAATAGCGTGACATTTTCAAAGGGATGAAAAAAATAAGAGCTAACCGAGAATTCTGTACCTGCTGGAGAGAATGAAGGTAAAATAAGACAAAAAACTTCAGACAAACAGAAGTGGAGAGCATTTGGTATCAAGGGAATCCGTAAGATGGAAATGCTAAAGGAAGTTCTTCAGGCCAAAGGAAAACTGATCCTACAGGATAGGATGAAGGGATGAAGGGTGCAGAAGGGGCAGCTGTGTCCGAGTAGATAGATCTAAATGCAGTTCAACCTTGTAAAACAAGAAGAATGACTTTTGGGGTTTAAAATATATGTACCATTAAAAACATAGCAACAACAGCACAAAAGGCAGGAGGCGGTTACATGGAAAGTAATTCAAGGTTCTTGCATTGTATGGAAGAGTATTATTTTCTATTAGACTTTAGAAGTTTAATAGAGGCATGTTGTAATCTTGATGGTAATCACCATATAAGGAGAGTAGAATAAATAGCTTAATAAAGGGGTGTGGGGGATATCATGGAATTTTACTGATTAATCCAAAATTAAAGTGGTAAAGCAGAGAAAAAGTAATAGGACAGTTGTCACAAACAAAAAAAATAGTAAGATGGTAGATTTAAACCCACATATATCAATAATTACACCAAATGAAATAAATACTCTAAGGAAAAGACAAAGATTGTCAGAGTGGATTTAACAAAACAATACTACTTTATATTTCTTATAGGAGACACACAGGTTTAAAGGAAAAGGGTGGAAAAAGTATATCATACACATATTAACCAAAAGAAAGCTGGTACAAAGTCAGATAAAGTCAACTTTGGCCAAGAAACATTACTGGAGACAATAAGGGAGAGTTTATGATGATGCAAGAATCAATCCATCAGGAAGACATGTCTTCTCAACTTGTATACATAGACTCAATATGTATAAATATTGACAGATCTAACAGGAAAAACTTGAGAAATCTGTAATTGTGGGAGATTCTACACCCGTTGGTCAGTAACTGATAGAAGGAGCTGACAAAAAATCCTTGCACTGAAAATGTGAATGACATGAGTAACAAACGTGACCTAACTGACAAGAATCTATCAGTTAACTGTACCCAAGTACGGAAGACAGAGTCACCAAGTCCACATGCTAGATTTACCCAAATGAGCCCTAATTTGAGTCATGAAGCAAGTGTCACCACATTCAATGAAATCACATAGCGCGTGTTGCCTGACTACAGTTAGAATTAAGCTATAAACCAACAACAAAAGAGTAACTAGAAAATCCAAATATTTGGAAATGATATGAAAGGGAAAAAATCTATTACTGTATTAACTCACTTAA